TGCTGAAGAAAATAATTACTCGATATTGATTCCTCGCACAAAAAAACAATTATTTTTGAATGAAAAACTTGGTGTCTCGGAGCGCCTTTGCGGAATTACAGAATATTCCGGAACAGTTTTTCACATACGATGCGATTAGTTTTTTATCTACATATGACTTTTGACACTTCCTATGCGCTACAATCGTCGTACCTCAATCGTAGTAGTATTGTCTTTGACCATGGTTATTATTTTTATTAGCAATGTAATAACAGTTCCCAAAAACAGTCAAAAACACGTTTTTTTAAAACAACAACAATTAAAGAAAACACGTCAAAAACTGAGAGTCCGATAAACAATTTGCTATAAATATGACATGACCTGGGGCAGAATTCTCGACTACATGACTCATGACATAATTCTCGACTACATGACACATGACATAACTGACAGGTGTGACAGGGGAGGGAATAAACCAAGGTCGCGAAAGCGGCGAAAACTACGCACACGCAGTTGCCATCTGATATGCCGGCGAATGTAAGGCACCAAGGCACATATTCTGAGACGCGCTAACTCCCTACCCGCTTGCCTTATGTCAAAATATCATAATAATTATGTTTTTTTTTTGTCGTAATTTTTGTCTACTTGCCGAATTTCCAGATAGGTTTTCCCTAAAATACACAACACAACGATTTTTTTTCAAAAAAACGTTTTTTTTTTTCAAAATTTTAGGGGGTTGCGGGAGGAATTTTTGGTGGGAAGTTCAAAATTCGAATTCAGCGACCCAAAAAAACATAAAGTAAGCCGATTTCCAGAACTACCATGAATTTTGCAACCTAAAATTTTCTTATTTCCTGAACTAATTCTTGAAACAGGAGAGCAGCATTTTTGAAACAGGAGAGTAGCATTCTTGAAACAGGAGCACGAGTGTTCCGTCTTTGTTACTCATATTATTAGTTGCAAATCATTGAGAAAGACTCGTTCTCCTGGGAACGCTGCTTCCCTGTTCCAAGAATAAGGACCCTGGTGTGGTTCCAATTGGAGACAAGGTTAAGTCATTAATTCTTCTTTGGGAATTAGGCACTAGCAGACGTCACACACGAAATGTGTGACGTCTCACTTTCGATGGGGGGACAACAAATGCGGGGGGGGGGACAACAAATGCGGCCGACTTGTCTGAACAGTTAACAGGTTCATTTGAGAAATATCGTTTGTTTGGTTTGTCCCATTAAGGTAGGTTTGTCTCAATGACATGTTTGTTCTCCTATCGAAAGTGACGTTATGTGATTTCTGACATAATAGCTAGTGCCTGTGTGTAGTCCTTCAAACGCTTTGTTTGTCCCCCATCGAAAGTGATGTTGTGTGTGACGTCAGCTAGTGCCTAATTAGGCTTACCAACGACCTATCAAAACTATTCCAAAATGGCGTCGTAGGCGTTTATTATCCCGTATATGAGAGTACAGAATTTAAAGCTTTTTAAAGTGCATTAAAACCTGTCGATTTTAATCTGATACTCCAAAGAAATGTGAGCTGGTGGCTCCCTACATTAGAACGCCAGTGGTCAGTTGACGTCACACCTGTTTTTGGCATAAGCTTCACCCCCTCGCTCCTCATACGGAAAGTGTCAGATTAAAAATGACGGACAATATGTGGTTGTTTTCTGACTGAATTGTATCTATTTTCTTTATTTTATTGACTTCATATTCATAAGTATTTTTTCTAATTAAAAATGTCACAAAGGTGTCTTGTTCACTGTGAATGCCGTTTCAACAAGGATGATGTCAGGTTTTTTTCAGTGCCGACCGTTTTAAACTTTTCCAATTGAAACGTGGAAATTATTGAGTACCACTGTCCCTGCATCCAAAATAAAGCCATACTCGAAATACTTGTAAGAATCTGCTTTTGTAAGCATTTATTTGCTCGTTGCTGTAAAAACTGTAGGTCAAAATGTAAACAAATGTCAACTAGACATTTTTTTAAATTTACCGTTTGCCCACATCCCTATTTTCCTGCATTAAAGTGTTTAAATATTCACTCTGCAACTCGAAAAGTATTATACGAAAATTTTCACAGTCAGTGTATAATAGGAGAAAACTTGTTTTCCCTATTTTGGGTTTTCCCAACTAACTGATTTTTGGTCGGAGTATTAGACCGTCAGTACTGTTACACCAAAAGTGTTGTTTAGTGCAGAATCCTAGTCTATATTACAGCAAAGTACACTGTATACTAGCTCGAAAATATTCCACAGAAACTCAAGATAAACGAAAAAACGTCAATTTTCCCACAGACGCCATATTGAAAAATCACGTGGTTTGTAACAAGGTTGTTTGAGAGAGGTAGGTTGCCTGATAACTTTATGACAATCATCATCTGGGGTGCCTCAACATACTGCCAATCTCCATAAGAAACCCCAAATGCGTCATCAAGTTACCCATTACCAGACAACCTATTAACTTTAGGAACCTTGGTTTGGAGACTTAAATTGGCACGTAAGCTTTTGACAACTTCTCGGCTGGAAAGTCATAAGGGCAATCAGTCAATCAGTTCACAACCTAAGATCGAGAAAAATGGGGAACATCTACGAGAAAAAAATTCAACCCAGATTATCTTGGGTGTCTTGGCAGAACTTCCTGCTGGTTGTGCAAATAATGGTTCTATACCTGAATTGATGAAGAGCTTTTGTTACATTTTGTGGTGAAAGAGGTCTGATGGTCATTTCAGTCATTTCAGTTCAGCAGGAGGTTGTATTTGATACAATTATTGTGTTGCAATGCAAACCTCGATAGATACAAGAAGTTATAGTTTAGTTTTTATTTCAGAGACGATAACCTTGATAACTTGAAATCACATTCATTCCGTCCTGTCAGTCAATCAAAAATTTGTTTCATAACCATACCAAATTTTGGCTGTAGTCTTTCCATTTTTCACAACTGAAGTAGAGATACGATATATTAGACGCATAAGTTGTGCTTCGTCCCAAAAACATGTTTTGCTCTAAATGAAGTAGATGAACAAAATATGCATATACAAATTTCCCACAGTATTGGATACCCAAATTAGGGTCCGAAAGCGGTCAAATGCATAATTAATAAGCCTCACTTACCTATTTATCCTTAAACGACCTCGGGCCACACCGTTATTTTTTCATTTGCGAGCACCTATTTGTGTATTCATGTAACGCACGATGCACGTCCCGCACGATTCCACCGATGTGTTCCATAAATTCACAAGAAGATGATTTTTTTTATTCATGAAAAGATTTTGTCAATATTAATAGTTTTTTTATTTTAGCGTATAAGAAAATATTCACAATTTTTCACGGTTCAAAAATTCATCATTCATTAAAATATTATGTTTCACATGATTCAAAAAAATTCGCATCTCGTTAGCTGATTAACGGACCAGCGGCATAGATTCAAATAGCCATATAAGGCCCCGCACTCCTCTTTGATCAATTAACATTTTATTCCTCATTGACTAATTGCAAAAAAATCATCATTATTCATTTAGATTCAATAATGCTGTTAAGTATTGCACATTTATTTATTCAAAAGCCTCAACAGTAATTATTCAATATCAGGTCATCGTTTCCTCTCTTTTTGATTAAAGCTAGTGGAATTTCAAACTACAGGAAACTGATTGTTTAATTTCTGCTTTATCAAGAATAATTATTTATCTTCATGAATAAAGATGATCGTTAAAATAGGAAATTTATATTTTGAATGATAAGACTATTCATTACACATGACATGTGAACGCTCCTTCTGGAGATGTTAATTAATATTTTTGATGCACATGAGGGAAAGATCGTTCTTCCCTTATTCATTTCAGATAGACTTTTAAATTAATGATGTTCTTTAACCATTTAAAATTGAGCAATATTTTTATCAGAGTTCACTCATTAAGTTCAGGAAATAGAAAGTATCCTTATTGTAATTAACTTTTCTAATTACATCACAGTTTGAGAATGAGCAAAACTGAATTTGTTTAATTGCGCCCATTTAAAATACTGATTGTGAGTGTTTAGGTTCTTAATTCGAGGAGGCGTTTTCATTCGGAAAGCACCTTGCGGTGCCTATTAATGGAATGATTTCAGTGAAGCTAATAATTTTTAAATTGATCTGCTTTTTCACTGAAACAAGAAAATGTGCTTGAGAGTCTGGTGACTTACTATGTAGGGAAAAGTAAGATTCTCCATGTCCTTGTCTGGTTCTCAGAAACTTTGCAATTTTGAATCGATTAAAAAAAAATTGCCAATGAAAGTTAAATTATAAAAATGCGAAATTACGAGGAATCATGGATAATCCATAAGTGCAAGGAATTTAGAAAATTTAATTGGACTTTTAAAGGAATTAATAAAAAGTTAATGTAAAGTATTTATTATCAAGACAAATTTGGCACGTTACACTCTTGAAACATGTCGCAAATACAATAAAAATAGTCTTGAATGTAGAAGAGAAAGGGCAAATTTAATTTGAGAAGTCCAAAACAGTGAAATTAGGTAAAATAAGCTAGAATTGTAAAGTTGTCAAAAGCTTCTTACCAAGATTAATTATTGATAAGACGTGTAAGTCCTTGAATATTCAAGAATATTAATTTATTTGAAGAATCTTTTCCAATCTTGATATTTACACGAAACAAAAAAAAATGTTTTTTCCGCAACACAATGTCGTGTTATTAATTGAGTTATTTTACATGAAAAGGCGATAAACATCTTTTACGTTAAGTCCAGTCACCTAGAAAATTATCGGGTTATTACCAGGCACGCTCGTGAGTGTAAGCTTACCCCTTATTATACACTTTTTTCCGTGATATAATATAACGACTTTAATGAATTAAGGACATTGTCGTATGTTAATCAGGCTATTTAGATTGGATATTAATTATACGACAGGTATTAAGTCACGACACTTGCCCATTACAGAGATCTGCACAAAATACCGTCCTCAACTATTTTCTCTACTTAAAAAGCCAATTATTGTGCATACAATTAGATAATGTAACGATTTTTTTTGTTCTAGGTGCTCTAACAAAATCCCAGTTTCCCGTTTTCACAATTTATGCCCAAAAAAGTTGTTTGGGCGTGAAACCCTGCGAAAGAGCCTGGTGCATTGACAGAGTCCAAAATTACCGATTAACTGGATACGTGAAGAGCCACCAGATCGTAGGATCCAGGCAGGAATGTTTGGAATTGTGCTTGGGAGAAAGTGAATTTGCTTGCCGGTAAGTACTTACATTTATCTACAAATTTGTAACCATTAGCAGAAGGAAATTAAACTCGACACTAAAACGCGAAAATCGATTATAGCCAGTGCAATGTCGTAAAATACTTTCTTACCAGGTTTAATACGATTTTGAAGACCGTTCTCTTAAAGACATCGTTTATAACGATGTAATTACACTGAACACTGAATAGATACAAATAACCTTGTTAAGCTTAGGTCGCACTTAGCTTAAGTGCGACCTGAACTGACTGGAAAGTGCCTCTAGGAACTGTAATTCGCGCCAAGTCATTAATTGTGAATATGTATTTATCATTTTTTCGTTACAACTCAATATTATTGTTTGATGTTTTAAAATTAATGCATATTTCAAACGTTATCCAGGTGAAATTTGCGCTATTTTCTTCTTCTTCAAGTGTCATGTCCTCGACTGCTTCTCTAAATAGACTTGTCGTGGTTTGGCCAAACCAGTGACACAAAATTATTTAGTCAAGATATTCTTTGACGTCCAGAGCTACTGGGTACTTTTGACTTGCCTTTTTCTCTTTTGTTTTGGGACCGAACAGGTCGTCCAGATTTTTAGAGTTTTAAAAATCTTGAAACTTTATCTTTGTTTTCGGCCATCGAGTCCATATTCTTGAAAATTAACTAGCCAGAAGAATACTTGCTCGTGTCTACTAGAAAGTTTCCTGAAAAATCAACTGATTGTTCATTTTTGTGAAGATTTTTGAAAGTGAGGTTATTATCGGCCGTTCAGGTATGTAAATTTCTTTTTCTCTCTGATAAATGAGTCCTTATATCCCCTCAATTCATTCAGGCACCTTCGGCAGGACGAAAAATCCGTAAAGGCACTTCTCCAAGTGAAAATTGACAAATTTGAGACCACGCTGTCCTGAATCTCAGAGCAAATCTGGGCCCCCTTTTCAAGGAAAGTTGGTGTCCTGTAAGAAGTTGATCCCCAACTATTATTTGGTTGTCTCCAGCCAGTTTGGAACCTCCAGAGCTCAAATTTGTGAAAGCTTCCGAGGCTCTACAAGGATTGCGTCCAGACTTGTATAATTACTTACCTATGGGTCTCTTGAACGTGCCATCTTAATTACCGTAACTTATTTTACCTTTTCTTTATCGCCCCCTATCGTTTAACTTTATTAGCTAATTAATATCTTTGTAAATTCAATTACCGACTTAATTGTTTACCGTGTAGTAGTGTTTAGCTAGAATAGCTAACTACTGTTTAAATAGAACTATTAATTTAATTAATTAATTATTATCAGAGTCAGATATTGGCTTTTATTATCGTTTTCTCTATCATTATTTATTATCCAATAAGTATGCATTATTATAATTTAAATTTATTTCCGTAATATCGAGTACTAATCGATATAATATATTGTGGAATCATTAACCTTTAAAGGGATTATTTAACTTTTAATTTCAAATCAATAATGTGGTAATTTTACAAGATTAACTAATGTAAAATCTTTGGGTAGTCAAATTTAAGTTATATGTTTACCTAATTTGAACTATAAAGGTAAGAAGATTGAGCTCTTCCGGAAACCCTGACCCCTTAATGAACATTAGGAATTATCTTATCTTGACTGTCCAACAGAATGCCGGACTGTGAAGGTTTGTATACACCAGCAGCTTCTTCAATTTTCTTATGCATTTTAAAACTGTCATATTTTGCTTCAAGGTCTTCAATTTCCTTACACCGTTCGTTTAGCCAATTTTGTTTAGCTACCCTGACTGTGTTCTCTTTTTCACGATTCAACAATATGATGGCTGGTCTTTCTTCCATCAGTCACCCAGGCTTTTCTCCTGACCCTATAGTGTTACGTGATGACAATTTCGAGCTGACATTAACAAAGGCTTCCCTGATACCTGTCCATACGGTCTCCACTTCTTGATTCTCTTTCCTGTTTATTACGTTTAGTGTATTATATAATTCGTTTCTAACTTCTAGTAGAGTTTTTAAGTATTGTCAGATCCAGTCTTGGGCTATTTGTTTTAGCTGATGTACATCTTCTTAGTGTCAACTGAATGTTCCCTACAAGCGGATTATGATCCAAATTTATATCTGCGCCAGGGTAAGTCTTTGTAAATTTGATGCAGTAGCGTTTATTAATCAGCACGACATCAATTTGGTTTCTGACAATTCTGTCCGGCATATGAGCGATAGAAGTCCAGGTCTAAAGACGCCTTGGTGGAAGTTGAAATAAAATGTTCGAGACGACAAAACCGATTCCCTGTTTTCACGAAATCCTATAAGTACTATCAAGTGCACAAAGAAGAGGTAAAAACGCAAATAGGAAAGATGCTCGACCAAGGAATCATACGTCACTCTACTTCACCATGGTTCCCTCCAGTTTGGGTATTACCCAACAAAACTGGAGGCCTCTGGAAAACAGAAATGGCGATTACAGGAAATTGAACGAGCTAATGGTCGACGATAAATATCCGCTCCCTAACATCTCAGATATTTCAGGTCAACTGGGAAAATATCAGTACTTCTCGACCTTTGATCTTGCATCTGGTTTCAACCAAATCGAAATCGGCCCAACTGATATTTCAGTGGAAAATGGCCACTATGAATTCGTTCGTATGCCATTTGGGTTGAAGACATTTCAGCGCGTCATGGACATTATTCTCTTAGGCATTCAAAATGAAAGACGTCTGTTCTACATGGACGACATCATCATTTATTCACCTACCATTCATGAACACATAGATAGACTCAAAGAAGTGTTCAAACGTCTTCGAAAAGGAAATCTCAAAATCCAACCAAACAAATGCGAATTTTTGCGCAAAGAAGTCGCATTCCTTGGCCATCTCGTTACCAAGGATGCCGTGATAGCATGGTCAGAAACACACTACTATCACGTTTTACGGTGTAGTACGCAAATTGATATTCACATTTGGAAAATTTTATCTTTTATCTCTGCTTGTTTTTCGCGAATTTTCAATTATGGAAAGTGCCAGCTCAATCAGTTCTTCGGACTGGGAAGAGGAAATGAGAGCTGTGGCTGCTTTTATCGTTCTTGAGGGGGAAAATAAAATCCAATTTGTTCCCATGCTGTTTGGCGAATATGATGATCACGATATTCAGGCAATCGATGATTCCATGGTTGTATAAAACAGCGTGTTCTCTGACTTTTCCTATTAAAATCTCATCCATTTTCAAACATAAATAACACAAGTTCAGCCAAACCGCAATAAACGTGAGCTCACGCAGACGAAAAAAGTGTGGATTTGCAGAAAATGAGTACATGCTAGCACGCGTGAGCTTGGCGATGTAACGTAATACGCATGACAGAACTTCAGTGTGGTTCTGATGTATATTAACCTACTACATATATCAAACAGCACCCCACACTTTATGCCTGTAACGTGATAGAACGTGAGCTTACGTGAGCTCATGTGAGGTGAGCTCAGTCTATTTCCGCCTTGGATACTTTGCGCAAAGTTGGATGTTCGGTCAAGCTTATCAGAGAATTGAAATTGACTTGAAATTTAATTGATATATCTATTTTTTCATAGCTCCGATTAGCTTAACCAAGGATTAAGAAGTTTTGTTTGAAGTACCGGCACTTATTGACTAAATATTAAGGGAAACTTTCAATTTCTATTCAAATTTATCCCAATCAAAGATGCACATCCATAGAACATCTACATTAGAGACTAAGGGCCGGTTTATCAGTGGCCGGTTATCTAGTTTAGCTGGCAGTTAACTCGTAACGCTCTTTTGTCGGAACAAAAGAATGCTCAGTGGTTCTTTAGCTTGGGGTGGTCCTTGGTGTTGGTACAGTAAAGAGAGGGCGCCACTAGTTTGTATAAAATTATTTTGCTTATCAAAGAATAGCTACTAATCAAAAAATTAGCTATTATTTAAAAAGATAAATGCAAAAATCGAAAAGGTAAAACAAATCCAATACCTATCTGACATTTAACCACGTGAATAAAAACACAAGCTTTGGATTTCTAAAAAATAATTTATTGACTGGATGGCGAACTTGTTGTTCATTAACATTGAAACAAATAAGTTGTTTAAAGGTGATTATTGTTCAGTATCCAATTTTATTAAAACAATTTAAGCAGCTTACGGGAAGCAAAACTTAATTTTAATAGGTACATATATAAAAAGTTTGAAACTTAAAAACAATTAAATAGATACCTACGATGAGGCTTACCTAAGTGTAAGTGTTGAAGTCAAAATAAAAATAACATTTAATTTTTGACTGAAAGTCAATCAAGTTAATAAATAAAATGCGGAAAGGTAATAATTAATCTCTAGGCAGTTTTTAAAATCAAAAACCTAGCTAGGTGAAATCAAGGGGTCAGGGTTTCCGGAAGAGCTCAACCTTTTTAACTTTAAAGTTCAAAATAGGTAAACATAAAACTTAAATTTGAATACCTAAAGATTTTAAATTAGTTTACCTTGTGAAACTACCACATTATTGATTTGAAATTAAAAGTTAAATAAACCCTTTAAAGGTTAATGAATCCACAATATATTATATCGATCAGTACTCGATATTAAGGAAATAAATTTATAATAAATTAAAATAATGTATACTTATTGGATAATAAATGATAAAGAAAACGATAATAAAAGATAATATCTGACTCTGATAATAATTAATTAATTAAATTAATAATTATATTTAAACACTAGTTAACTATTCTAGCTAAACACTACTATATGGTAAACAATTTAGGTCGGTAATGGCCATTTGCACCGCTATCACTTAAGGAAAATTAAGGGATATTTAATTTAAGTGGAGCTTTTGAATGTGACTTTTGTTTCTACGAGAGTTACATTCAAAGCTCCACTTGGATTAAATATCCCTTAAGTTATAGCGGTGCAAATGGCCGTAATTGAATTTACATAGATATTGAATAGCTAATAGAGCTAAACGATAGGGGGCGATAAAGAAAAGGTAAAAATAAGTTACGGTAGTTAAGATGGCACGTTTAAGACACCCATAGGTAAGTAATTATGCG